TCATCTCATTCGTAGGCACCCCGATGCATGTCCATCCCAATGGAGTTAATCTTGCGATTGGTTCACCTGCATCACCTCGAATTTCTTGTTTTGAATACAACAAGTCAGCATGATCCACGCCAATTAACATGTCTACCGTGGACCTTTTATCGATTTTAGGAAAATTTATATTCTTCAGATGTTTCCATTTTTTAGCATACTGATTCCAGTCAACAACTTCCATATTTCCTGTCACCTTTTCTGTTGTTAATGCACTAACGTCATGTACGACTTTACCGTCCAAACTCTTCAATTCAAAATCAACTGGCATCGTTATAAATGTTTCCACTTGTCCGTTTAATACGTTGACTGTTGCTTTTTTGAAAGTTCCTTGCAGTCCCAATTCGGCCGCTACGTCTACGTTGATGTATGTTTTCGTACTAGCATCGTCCAATAAAGCATTTACTGTTATTTGACGACTTCCATTTTTTAGAATAACAGGAACTGTTCGTAGTGCTATAAATTCTTTTCGATCTTTTGATGTTTGTTCTAATGTTGTATGGACCCGGGTGTTGTTGTCGCTGGCATCATCTTTAGCTTCTGTTTGGGTAGCAATACAATTACTCTTGATAACGTTTAAAGGATTGTTTTTGGGTGGAATCAGGGGTTTCTCGGTCATGTTCCATGTAGTATGTAATAGTGCATGATGCGTCTTTTGACAGCCGTTCTTTCCACAAATTCTTGTCACTGTACATGAACTTCCAATATGATTTTGATTTAGGCATCGAAAACACAACTTGAACCGTTTTGCAGCATTCCACTTCTCCCATGGTTTCAACTCTCTAAATTTCTTGCAACTCCACACTCCATGACGACCATCACAAAGTGGACAGGTTTTTGATTCCCATTTGGTATCTTGTCCGAAAAATGTCTGTGGGTTCCTTTTTCTCCTCCAGTCAGAACGAATGTTGCAACCATGGATTGTCTCAGACGCCGTTGTCAGAAATTCCACTTCTTGTAATATCCAATCTCGAAGTGTCAACACTGATTCAATCTTTCGATTTTCAAATATCCAGCGGTGATATCGCACAAGTAAAGATTCAGATAGTTTTTTTTGTAAGGTAACATAGAGAACACCATTTCCCAATTCTTCCGCACGATCAGCATCCTCCAGATTAACAATTACCATGTCCAAAATGTCAGCGATTTTTTCTAATTCATTCGGATTCTCATCTTGCATTGGTTTAAATCTTTCGAGTTGTTCAAGATATAACGCAATTTTCCTTCGTGTTCCACCAAACTTCCGCTCTAACCGTATTTTGCTGCCTCATAAGCTGCCGCCGAATGTCCCAAATTTTGAATTGTTTTCAGTGCTATCCCAGACAGACATTGTCTTAATTGGAGAAGTTTGTACTCCGGCGTTGCTGGTGCCTTATCCACACAAGCGGTAAATGCTGCCTTCCAACTTTCGTAGTTGTTTTTATCACCGTCAAACACTGGAATCGAAACACGTTTCATCTGCTTCCAAAGGTCAACGCCAATTTCATTTGTAGATGTTGTTGATTTCGATTTAGGTGTACTTTGATACTTTACGCTTCTCGTTAAACTCTCATCTTCTCGCTTGCTTGGTTTCGGGTCAGGTATAACCGACTGTTGAAATCGCAATTTTAAGGCGTGTCCTTGTTCTTTGATCAGTTGATTTTCATTTTGGATTTTGCCTTCGATATTTTTTATTTTTTGAGTGAGTTCTTTTTCTAATAAAATAGTTTGTTTTTCAATCTCAGCGTCAATCTCAGACATAGACATGGTAGGTTGAATTTGTTCATAACGCTCTTTTGATTTCTGTGTTAACGGCGGAGTTATTTCTATCTTTGACTGTACGTTGCTGAAAACTTTTGTAGAATTTTCATCCAAATACTGTTGCGCTCGATTTATAGTCTCGCTGAATTCCTGTTCCATTTTCTCAATCTCTTCAACTATTCTCATATTGTTTTGACGATCTGCTCTGCTCGAATACACTTCAACCATGGCTTCGAAAATTTCCATAAGTTGTTCTTGTTTAACTGTTAACTTCTTAGATGCTTCTTTAACGCGATTTCGGTCTTCTACATCGATACAATTCTCTTCTATTAAACGAAATACTTGGTTTTTTGCCTTAGTAAAGGCAGTTTTTGCTATTGCTTTTCGATATTTTAAACTATCAAGGCGTTCATCTACCTCAACGCTCTGTTGATCACGACTTTGTTCATAAAAACTAGCCGCTTCCATTCTGTCAACTATCTCCTGGTAGATTTATCTTGCCGTTTTGATTGAGACATCTTTAACGATTACTAAGTAAAACCATTTCCTGCTACCAATTTTTGGTACGCAGCAATAACGAAATTATTGATCTATTTGACTCCAAAACGATATTACTATGTACAAAAATATTTACAAGGTCACCTATATACTAAACTACTCATTTGTTATGTAAATCGCACACCGATTAGTCACACTTAGTGTATATTTGAATAATATACACAACAGAGTCACACTTCTGTTCACTATGCACCGATGGAGCATACTCGCTGTCACAAGTTTTAGGAAGATCTTCATCTGGGTTGTTTGTAATTTCTAAAATATAAGTGTTAGTTCAATTATTCAATAGAAAATGTACATATAAAATTTCTATAATAATCCTACTTATTACAGTTAGTGTACATACCACTTCCTTTGCTAATATCATTGTCTTGTGAAACTGAATCTGTAATATCTGTAAGAGAAATCAGATGGGAACTTTTTTAGAGTATACTAGAAATTGCAAAGATATCCCACTAGGTATCATACTCAATTGAGTCTCACTGCATTGATCTTTAAATTTTAGAAAAGTATCCCTGGGACAAAAGTATTTGTTCATCCCTTTAGAGCTTCCTTTTGATCAAGTATAACTAACCTAGATATTTCATGTAAACAGATGATCTTATTATCAATTCCCAAAAAAGTTTTAACATACCACTGTTAACATTTGGTTGTATTAGACCAGCACGCTCCATACGCTCTTGACAATATTCCATTTCACCTGGCAAGGATGGTGACTTCTCACTTCCCGATTCATCTGTCCCAAAGTATGAGCGAATTTTGTCACAAATTTTTTTCGGGGATATACATCGTAGACTAGGTATTCCTTTAGTGATTTATTTAACCTGCCTTAACGTTATTGACTTCCGCTTTATATGTTCAGAAAACGCAGATCCTAATTCCAAAATTTCACTTGGTGTCAATTTGTGCCTTTGTTCTGGATTTTCCACCTGAAGAGTGTCCGTGTTTTCTTCCATATTAGCTTGACCAGATGACCTCATTATCTTTGTCAGTTCATTTAAAGTTCTTAGAGCAGATTTCCCTTTATTTTTTAACAGATAGTAACGATCAGCTGTTGATTGCTTATGAACCATAAGGTCCGCTAAGTCCCCATGTAAATCCTCATTCTGCTCATGAACTGCGGATACAGCAGCTTTTCTGAAGGCAGTTGCTCCTCCCATTGACGTTTCTTTCCCAAAAACTTTCCCCCAACACGATCCCATCTGGGCACCAACTTGCGATGACTTCATTTTCTTTTGGTTAGAAGTTAAAAAAACTGGCGAATCTTTGTCTGTGTTAACATCTGCCAAACGATTTCTGAATTTCTGAATGTAAATTTTAGTATATCTGTAAAGAGATGCATTAAAAATAACATTCACAGGGCCATGAGAAGATAGAGTCTTGTGGTCCCGCACCCTCACAATGAAACTTTCATCCTCTTCCGTGGATCTTTCAAACTCACCAAGAGTCATGTTTGCTAGTGTTCCAGATCTGCTGCCATTGTTGATACACAGGACAGTTAAGAGGTAGTCCCTTACAGCAGTATACTCAGGCTGGCTTGGTGGTTCTTCTTTATCTTGGTACTCTCCAAGCAGACGAATAGCCTCCCTAGCAACTTCCGAAGTGTCAAATTGTTGAATTTGCTGGGGGGTTCTTATTGCCTCAATGTCATCCATGCGTTTTTCCCAAAAACGTTGCTTGCTTTGTTTTCTGAATGACCTAGCCCATAGTCTCACTTGGTCTGAAAGACTGGTTAACCTTTCTACTGTAGTATTGACATCTATATTTTCACATTTTAAAAACCCATAAAATTGATTCAATGAACCAAGATATGATTTCACAGTTCCAGGCTGTTTTTCATGGTCAAATTTATTTAGCCAATTTTCACGGAGTGTCGTTTTATGCAAAATATTGTTTAGTGATGTAGTTGAACTATCGATATAATTGACAACTAATTCGACTTGTCTTCTGCATTGTACTGCAGATGATTTTTTTCCCACCATCTGCCCCTTTTAACCAACATTCAAATTTGTCAAAAATCTTTTGCAAGCTCTCATCGAAAACCACAGCAGTAATTGTGTTCTCGCGAAGTTGTGCTTCATCAACGCTTATTTCAGAATTTCTGGATCCTTCGTCACTGCTTCCTCCACTATTATAAACAGTATCGTATAGACTAGGAGAGTGCATGGCATGGGATTCGGTTTTTGTCTTTTTTGCTGGAGGCCTGTACATCTGCGAAGATGAAACACTGCCATCACTGCCAAATGATTCAGATAACTCAGCTGAACTTAGGGCTTCCACATCATGACTTACAGCATTTTGTAGGCATTTCTTATAGAATTTGCTGCCTCTCTTAATCCCATGTACATCAGTTAAATGGTTGTGAATTCTTTTAACAATTGAAGTACATTCGTCAATTGGACAAATAACACTTTTATAAACACGTTTTGTTTTCCTTTTTGATTCAGCTTTTCGCTTTCTTAGACTAAACGAATTTAGGACAGAGTGGGCTTTTCTGGGGCTCCACCCATGACATTTCCTCATGTGCCGTGGGAGATGGACGACTGAAGAATGGCAATCAGGAAAAGGGCATGAATGTTTAGGTCTCCCCTTCTTACATGACCCTTTATGTGGGGATGACGACGATTTGTGAGAGCGCTTCTCACTCCCAGTGGGTGCAGATGATGTACATTGCTCTGGTTCCATTCCGCACTCCTATAAAGAGTAGAAGAATCGTGAAAGAAATAACTAAACTGTGGAAATTTGTGTACAAGTTTAAGGTAACTAGGAAATAAAAATATACATCACTTTGTGCAAAAATATTCATTTAAATTTTTCCATGTTTACCTTCTCAACAGTGCTCTGAACTGAGTTGTTTTGGGTGGACTAACTATACTTATTAATATATTATTTCTTCTAACGGTTATGTGAATGAACAAATTAACATACCAGGTTTAGGTTATCACATTTTTGCTCTGTATTTTCTGGCTTTATGGCAACGTTTTCATTCAGTAACTCTTCAATATCATTCAAAAATCTATTCACCTCATCCTTGCAAGTAGATTTTAACTAAAAAATGAACAAAATTTTCTTGGATGTCAATGCTCTCTTAATAAGGCTCTTAGTCTGGAAGAAAGTTTTTACAGTGACAAACGCAATTGAATAACTGAGTATTTTTAGAATATAACAGAATCAGTTGTACAGAACTTGACAATATTTTCAAAAAGGTGCTGAAGTAAAGAACTATAATGAATCAAACAAGCTTTTATTTCAAAACATACCAGTTCAGGTATTTCAATCATAATTTGAACCTTTCTTTCATTTTCAATGTCTTCCCAATCATCTGAATATTTACCGCCAGCATCCTAAGAAATCAACACAGTTTCTGAACTCCTATGAGGTCAAACTATGTTTGAAAGGAATGAAAAATAAATTATAATATAACATTTATAGTACGCGCGTGCTGATTGGTCGAGAAGCGTGTTTCTATAACTGTATAGAAACACAGGAATTTTACCGCCGAACTTGGCAAGCGAAGCGATGTAATGAGAATTTGTAATTGAATCGAATTATAATATTTGTAGCAATTTATTAATAACATGCAGACAAGCAAGAACTTCCCATTCCATGGAATACAGTAATACAATTATACACACAAAATTCTATTCCAGTATGTATTGGCTGTGCCAAATTCAACCAGAGGGGTATGTTATAATTATTTGGCCTCTTTACTTTGAAACTCCCAAGCCTAAAAACTAGCACTTAACATAAACAACCAGATTACTGAATAAAATGGCCAATTTAAAACAGGTCTTTGATTCCTCTGCTACAGTAAAGAAAACAGAGGTTATAATAACAATATCATATTTGGCTTATTTACTCAGTTATCCTCCAACCTTGAAAACAAACAGCAAATATAAATCCCGTAATCTAACTGTTCAAGCTATTTTATTTGCTGTAAATTAGTTAGTTAATAAGGTGTGTTATTAAACTCACTCTTAAAGGTAAAATATGGAGAAAAAATAATATTTTCTAACCTTTCATGGACAAAATATCCTAAAATCGCCGAAACCTTTTTACAAATGTCCAAAATAGAGCAAAATAAACACTATGTGATCCTTATTAATCCCAAAATACCCTATAAAACAGCCTGAAAAATCGGGCATCTCCCCCCTTAAGATTGTCAGGAAAATAGGGGGTTTTTCTAAAAACCTGGAAAAAATATTTTCTAGACATGAAAAAAATTATTTCTTTAGTATATGCTGCAATATTATACATTTTATTCATTCCAATTGAAGAAATAAATATATACCTTTTCGCTAATATAAAGATGGCATTATCCCGACGTGAACTTCAAATGCTTTAAAAATTGCCGTTTGGCATTATTTTATTCCCGTTTTTGTGTTTTGAGATAGTTAAACACTAGTAAACTGTGCACAGAGGAGTTATAGCTCAATTATCCCAAACAAAATTTCAAAATGTTACAAAAGGGAACAATTTAGGTTACAAAAAGGAGCACGCTCCTTTTTGTAACTTCACTATTTTCATAAAAAAATTAAAATTTAAAAAAAATAAAAAACGATAAAATTCTGAGACTTACTGTATGTTATATTCATTCAAAGATATAAAGCACTGCAAAATATGGGCTGGATTCCTTGTAAATTCAAGATTTTATGCCCAAAATCAAAAGTTGTCGCCTTGTTTCAGAGCTCTTTCTAAACAGAGTGCAACAAACTAGTGCAGTAAGAGTACAACATATCTGCACCTAATTTTTTCCCTCAAAGCTCGAAGATCGACTGGAATAGAATCAGGTGGTTCTTTAGATAAAGATTATTTAGCTTGCAACCCCTCATCTACCCAAGATTCGCAAAAAAAATAGTTAAAAATGACGATTTCCCTGATAGTGCTCCTTTTTGTAACCTTCAAGCTACTTTTGTTACAAAATAAGACAAAACAGCATAATTGTGAGAGATTGCGGCATAGCATAGCAAAATAGACCTTACAAGGAGTATGCTATGCAAATTTCAGAACTATGTCAAATGTGTTAACAGAGATATCCTACTGTCAACATCGGGTTACAAAAAGGACAAGACATTGATCTAAAGGTAGGTAGGTAGGTAGGTAGGTAGGTAGGTAGGTAGGTAGGTAGGTAGGTAGGTAGGTAGGTAGGTAGGTAGGTAGGTAGGTAGGTAGGTAGGTAGGTAGGTAGGTAGGTAGGTAGGTAGGTAGGTAGGTAGGTAGGTAGGTAGGTAGGTAGGTAGGTAGGTAGGTAGGTAGGTAGGTAGGTAGGTAGGTAGGTAGGTAGGTAGGTAGGTAGGTAGGTAGGTAGGTAGGTAGGTAGGTAGGTAGGTAGGTAGGTATGGTCTACAGACTCTTGTATTTTACTAACTGCTCCTTTGGGAATGGTTTCTGACTCGGTTGTATCATCGACGTATTTCCATAGATTTACACCAGGAGCTGCAAGGTCATTGATCATTAAAAGAAAGAGCCAAGGGCCGAGTTTAGTGCCTTGAGGAACTCCACATGGTACTCGGCCCCATTCCAAATAACAGTCATTAGCCAATTTAATTCTTTGATATCTGTTAGTCAAAAAGTCTTTTAACCAGTTGATCATGCGGTTATCCAGCTCTAATTTACAAAGCTTACTCATCAACAACAGACTGTGGTCAATTAGGTCAAATGCTTTTTGAAATTATAAAGTACAATCCTTACCGTTGCTCCATTTCCGTCGGTGGCTTTCGACCAGCAATCAATCATGCTAATTAAGGCATTGGTCGTTGATCCTTGTATTGCGCCGAACTGGTTTTTGTCAAGGACAGAGAGGATCGCAGGCTGGACGAATTGTTGCACTACGAACTCTTCAGCCATTTTGGACATAATTGGGGTTAAGGAGATAATTCGAATATGTTTACAAACATCTTTAATGGGTTTTGACTTAGGTATAGGGGCAACATCGGCTTTCTTCCAAATATCTGGGAGACGCTGTTCAAGGTAAGATGAGTTTATGATGCTAGTAATAGGAAGGGCCAGGATGTCCGCGTATTTGCGTAGTAGCCAGCTTGAAATACCGTCTGGCCCAGATGCTTTACGAGGATTTAAGGATTTTAACGTGTTTGAAACCGATATTTCGGTAATTGTTAAAAAACTCGACATATTGCAGACTAGGTTGTCTGGATCTTCTGAAACTAAGGGAGAATATGTCTGCGTTGGTTCAAGAAGTTGATGGTTAATAGCGTTGGCTATTTTGTAAGGCGATGCTGATTGATTATCAATCTCAGGAATCTTTAGGATGCCAAGTATATCACATCGGGGTGTGGCCATCCCACTGAGAGATTTAACATAGCTCCACCAATTGCGCGGATTAGATTTATTAAGATCCTTAACTTTAGTTTCATAATATTTTGCGCGACATGATTTACGGTAGCGGTTTATCAGGTTACGATAATAGTTAAATGTTACCTTATTGTTGTTTGCCAAAGCATCTTGTCGTTTCTTAATAAGGGACTTAAATTTAAAGGTGATCCAGGGAGGCTCGTTGGCACTTACTTTAACACGCTTCTTTGGAATGATACTGTTGACGCCATTACATACTGGGTCAGTAAAGTGAGACAACTTTCCATTGCATGTTGACAATTTTGACAAAGTTGACCAGTCGATATTGCTTAAGTATCGACCAAGGGATTTTCGGAACGAAGGATGAGTGTCCTGAAAGGTAATATATTTTGATTTTACTAGGGAGCGCTGTCTTTGCTTGGCAGTTAAATAAACAGTACAATGGTCGGAAAGGCCAAACGGTGGAGAACATTCAGGTTCTGCGTAGAACTCACTGTGTATATATAGCATATACATCCCTAAAATAGCTGAAATGGTTTCATCTACAGAGCCCTTTTCTGTAAATTTCTGCTGCACATCTCTGTAAGTTTTGTTTGGAAATATTGACATAATTTCAGCATGGCATCTGGGTCCTAAAAAGGATAATGATTAAAATTTATAAAACTCATTCAGGTCTTACTCTAAGGGGTTGGCAATTGCACAACAGCTGACCTTTCTTAGGCAAGAGATGTATCATGTGTGTAAAACCTCTGGCTTTACTTTGCCAGAATTGTGAATATCATGATATTTACCATATTTGCAGGAAGTGTTACTGTTATAACAATTAATGCCATAGGAGAGTGGAGGGGTGTAAAATCAACACTGGTAGTGTAAAATTTGTATTTTAGCATATTTCCAAGATATTAAGGTTCATTAGCAGGCTGCACAGATTCATGGGCAATTGTGTGTATTTGCATGTCCATGAGGAGTCATCACCAATGTATAAAGAAAATTTAATGCCATGCATCAAAACTTTCAAGATTCTATGACATACAATATCATTAACTTATTATAAGGCATTGCTAATTTCCCATGTGACAGGGAGGGCTTATGTGTATTTTTCCTGCAAATTTGATGGTGAAAAATGTGCAGTAGCGTAGCCAGCCTGTCGATTTGTCCCGCTATGCTAATATTTTGGTGTTCACTGACTGTGAAAACAATACATTTCTAAAGACATGAATAATTATAATAACTCGAAATTTACATAGCGGGACAAAATCGTCAGGCTGGCTACGCCACTGAAAATGGGCTATATTAGCACACCAAGGTGGTCCAATTTGATGCCTTTATTTTGTTGTCAACACAATTACTAAATAAAAATGGCACCTTTGTTTGAAAAACAGCTTCAACTTTGCTATGTGATCCTCTGCTAGAAAAAAAACAATATTATGCTGAGAGGAATGCTTCAAGAACTTACTTCTTGAATGAGGACACAAGATGGCAAGGCTATTTGTCATCTCTACAGACCCTACTTTCTCGCTTGTCCTACAATTACAAATGTATGAAGTTTTAAATAACGGTTTATTTAAAAGCTTTGCTTTATATCTGCTTCAAAATATAATAATATTTTCTTTAAAATATAATTAAAATAAGCATATTTGTTGGTCAGCAGTCTGGCCCGGATGGTCAGGCGCAGAGAAGGAGGAAAGGGCTTCTAGTTTTTTGTAATTTAGATTAAACATTTAGTATCACAAATATATTTTTTTTTCCTTTATCTTTGACTTACAATTCTTTGTGCGTAGTCTACAACTTGGTGTCAGGTGTGGGGTTTATGATGGTGTCGAATGCAAAACAGGTTAGTTCCATTGAGTTAAAACTCATTGCAGTATTGTCGAGAACTTTAGGAATTTTCAAGTGCGATTTGACAACCATTGTATTGTATTCAAACGAACTATTTGGTGGTCAATTTAGAAAATAAAATAATGCACCCAAATGCCAGCATTTTCCTATTTTTTTCGAATTTGTACTGTGAGTTGTGCAACACTGTGCCTGG